AGCAAGATGTTTTCATATTCATTTGATTTTCACAACAGCCCTGGGGAGTTGAGGGCAAGTAATGTCCTTGCCAATTTGCAGATGGCTACTGAGTTCAAAAGTTGAGTGCCTGCTGGTTGCACAGCGGGGAAAATATGAAGCTCTGCAAGGCAAACCCACATGAGAAGGTTGCTGGTTCAGGTGCAGAGACCACCCTGAGTCTACCAGGCACATATGTGTCCTTGATCCATGGCTGGCTGAAGCTGGGTGGTTCTCAGTGTCGAGACTCTGTCAGGATGCAGTCTCTCTATCTCTCTGTCTCTATCTCTGTCTGTTCATGGAATAAGTAAATAAGCTTAAAAAAATTAAAAGCTCAATACTCTGCTTCCAAGTTCAGGGTTCATTCTTACTTGCCACCATTTTCAAGTACATTGAGTAAACAAACTAGACTTTCAAAGTATTGGGTGTCACATACAGTATTTTCACTGTGCAAGATTTATTTGTTAGAAATGATATGGCTGAAAGACTTATAATCAAGTTTTGTTTTGTATTTCCCTTTTAGGCAAATTAAACATTGCCTTCTGCCTCTGCCATCTCATTTACACTAATTAGTGGGTTAGCATTAGAGCCAAGATAACTTTAACCCAGATAATCATGACTTTTGATTGCTGCCCTAAGACATGCATTTCTGAGAGGGGTTTTCTGCTCCCTGGCAGAGGCCCTGATGCTGTTGAACCTCAGCCACCTTCTCCCGTCAAGTGGTACCCTAGGGAGGAAATTATAAAGCACCTCTTTTTACTACCAACCCAAGTTGGGTCGACTGCTACCCAGTGGGATGACAAGTAAGAGAAGGGGACAGGTGGTAGAATTGACCCTGTATTCTCAAGGTAACGGCCTGCAACTTACTTTCATTTGCAAAGACAGTGACTACTTAAAGCTTTCTCTAGTCATTATTAGGAGAACATTCCTCACAGTTGGCTTACATTCACAAGGAATACTATCGGGGTGCAGCCTGAGACATAAATATAGGCCTCTGCCAAACATAAAGAAAATAAATGTTCAGATGATGATAAAAACCTTGTCAATGTGAAGTGGTTTTTTATTCTTTGCTTTTTAATTATTCTTGTATTTCATTCTTCACCCTGACTCTATCTTCCAAGTCAACTTTAGAAAGAACTTTGGGAACTTTTCTCAAAGTCTTGAAATAATCCTGAGCTCTCAGGACTGTTGGTTTTCCTTGCACTAACCTTTTGCAAAGATATTGGCTATGAGCTGAGAGTCACATTGTGAAATGTCTCTATGGTACCGCATTATTATCGGCTTTCTTACTGCTCTGCTCAGAGTGAGGACTCTCAGGTTCTTTGTCACCATCACAGCTCCAAAAGACATTTGCAATATGTAATGAAATCACGTATACTATTTTATTTTAAATTTTATATTTTTTGTCACATACCAATTCTAGTAGATACTTAACCAAAAATAGGATTTTCTTTTCTTTCTTTCTTTTTTTTTTGGAGAAGGTTTTATTTTTTTTGCTACAGGGCACATGCGCTTGCATGAAAGACCGAGAGAGATAGACAGAAAGCGAGAAATCACCCCCCAGAGGGGATGGCCATGCCTCAATCCCTTCTCCTACATTCTCCTCTTGGGATCTTGGGCACGCATGCACACGCGCCCGGCGTGAGTTTAAGCCACCAGGTCTGGGACTCGAACCATGGTCGACTACATGGGAGTCCAGCAGCATAGCCATTACACCAACTGCTGGTCCCAAAGATAGGATTTTCAAAGCCCCAGCTCTCAATATACATAGAGCATACCATTTCCTATAGGTTTTCACATTCATATATTTGTCACAGCCTAGTTAAAGTTATAAGTAGGCACTAAAATGTCCCTAACTCTCAAGTCTGTTATTTATATTACACTATTATTTTTTCAATAGATTTTTTGCTATAGGGCACATGCGCTTGCCAGGGAGACAGAGACAGAGAGACAGAAAGCGAGAAATCACATCCCAAGGGGGATAGCTGCCCTACAATACCTTCTCCTCCATTCTCCTCTCCGGATTTCAGACACGCATACACATATACCTGGCATGAGTTTTCAGCTGCTGGGTTTGGGATATAAACCGTGGTTGACTACATGGGATTCCAGCAATGTGACCATTATCCCATACGCTGGTCCCTCCACTACTTTTCTTTAAGTCAACTTGTGCTTCCATTTACCATCTATGAGTTATGTGGCAATGTTTTTTTTTTTCCCTTTTTTTTTTTTAGAGGTTTTTGCTATAGGCCGCGTGCGCTCACCAGACAGACAGAGACATAGAGACAGAAAGTGAGAAATCACCCCCAAGGGGGGATGGTCACACCGCAATCCCTTCTCCTCTATTCTCCTCTCAGGATCTTGGGCATGCATGCACGCACACGTGCCTGGCGTGAGTTTTAAGCCACCGGGTCCGGGACGCGAACCACGGTCGACTACGTGGGAGTCCAGCGACATAGCCATTACGCTAACTGCTGGTTCCCGTGGCAATGTTTTTGATTAATATATTTTAGATTGTTTTGATCATTTTAAGACCATATTATGTAAGTTTTTAAAATAGTGTATCTAAATTTCATATTCAGCAGTTTAGTGGTTTACCTCTTCCTGCTGTAGTCTAATTTATTTTTAAAGAACTGAGAATATTTAGTAACATAAATGTTATATATTCTTAGAAAGTTTTTGAAAGTAAGTGCTGACTTCTTTGAAAACAAGGTGATGAATCTTTTTAAATGAATGATTATAATTGGGAAATAACAAAAATATCTGTAGCATAGAAATGTGGGGTGTTTTGTCATTATTTGGCTAAAAAAGTGTGACGCTACCAAAAGCTCAATAGAAAAAAAAAAAGTGAAAGATCTGAAAAACAATTTTCAAAAACGGTGCAAAAATGGCCCTTACATATATTTTTAAATGTTTCAACTCATTTATAATTATAGAAATTCAAAGTGAAACAAAACTGAGATACAGTAAGCAGGGAGGTCCACATTATTTTGAAGAACTCTCTGAAAACTATTATTTCTACCCATCAGAAGAGCAGACTTTTTAAAAGTTATTTTTAGTCCCTAAAAGGCATAGTAAAGCGCCTACCTGAGTATACAGTGATAAGTAGAACATACAGAGACTGTTCCTACACTCTAATTTAAGAGGGAGGCATTAAAATATTTATATATGGGGACCAGCAGGTGGGGTAATGGCTATATTGGGCGTAATGACTATGTTGCTGGATTCCCATGTAGTCGACTGCAGTTCAAGTCCCAGGCCTGGTGGCTTAAACTCAGGCCGGGCTTATGTGTGTGTGTTTGCCCAAGATCCTGAGAGGAGAATGGAGAAAAAGGGATTGTGGCATGGCCATCCCCCCTGGGGGGGTGATTTCTCGCTTTCTGTCTCTCTGTCTCTCTCTGTCTTTCT